AAAACTGTGCGGTGATTCTTTTGTTGTTCTGACACCAAATTCTCTGCCATGCCAACAATCTATGTGAGTTTCTGCTGCAGAGTGAGTGAAAACAGAAAGCGAGAAGATATTGAGGATGTGAAAAAGTCAATAATTCATTTTTTCCAAAGAATTTAACACATAATCAGGGTTCTAAAATTGATGAAAATGCAAATCATACAACCTACAGGACATAAGAAATGTATGACTGCTGCACTGAAATGCTGTCTAGCAGGACCAGCCTGCTGCCTGGCAAAGAAGGGACTGTCCTCTCAGTGTATGTGTGTGTGTGAAGCTGTGGAACCCTTGGGTACAGTATGTCAGCCTCGCTCCTCCCATACGTTTAGTTCTATAGTCAAGTCACACACAAGCACACACAATATCACATGCACATACACTTTGGAGTTTTCAGACAGCTTCCTTTATTCCTCTGCTGTCAAAAAAAACTGATTTGTGAGAATGTTTGTCTTTCTTTCATGTCCTGCAAATAATGATAGCTGTCATCCAAGTGGTGCTTAAGACATCTTGAACTGTAACTGCCTCCACATGCACAGAGGATGGACAAAGGGATTAAATAAAGCTTTTGTCAAAAGCCAGCTGGCCCTCATCCCAGATTCAGTTCTTCGTCCTGTACTCAGTGTCCTCCCATCAGGCAGTAGATTAGACATCTCACTTTTGATTTGTGCCCACCGGTGTGTGTGTTTGTGCATGTACAGTATGCCAGCTTGTACTTCAAGTATCTTTTCAAGTGTGTGTACACTGACATTCACTATGTGTATACAGTGTATTCACAAAAATGAGTCTTCCTCTCTGAGTATCAAAATTCATCACGTGATGCTCGAGCTGCAGGAGGAGGTGAGTCTCCAGTGACACTGTTCTGTGCCACAGGACGGATGCGCCCCTGCTGGGCCGTCTTACGGGCGTGCTGCCGGTCCCAGTCTGTGGCCACGGCTTCGTCATCCCAGATGGTGGAGGTTTCAGTATCGCTGATGTAGCCTGGCTCTCCAGTGTAGTGGGTGGGATAGATGAGCAGCGGCTCCACTGAGAAGGCCTTCAGGTCTCGTGGCTCAAAGTGAGACATGTAGTCAGTGCTGAGAAGGATGAAGGTGAGATGGGGAGAGGCAAAGAGAAACAAAGAAGAAGAGAGATGTTATGAACCACTGGGTGCAATTTCATGATGATTACAACTAATTATTATTAATATGCCGGGTATTCATTTTTAGTTAACCTCTTGATTAGTTTTTTAAGTAAGACGTTTTATCTGTACAATAAAAAAGCAAAAAATGGCCATCA